AGAGAGAGAGAGAGAGAGAGAGAGAGAGAGAGAGAGAGAGAGAGAGAGAGAGAGAAGAGAGAGAGAGAGAGAGATTTGGTAAAATGTTTTCTCAGTCAGTCAGGGTTGGCTGGCATGCATAGATCCATCTGACGCACCTAAAACTGGAAACAAAATCAAGACACACACACACACACACACACACACACACACACACACACACACACACACACACACATTCCTTCACTATACCACGACTTAAACGACTGATCAAGGTGCCTAACCCCTCGAGTATAATGACTTAACCCCTAGAGTATAATGACTTAACGCCACGAGTATAATGACTTAACCCCTAGAGTATAATGACTTAACCCCTAGAGTATAATGACTTAACCCCTTGGGTATAATGACTTAACCCCTAGAGTATAATGCCTTAACCCCTAGAGTATGACGACAGCCCCTTAGGACAAATCAATTGATCCCTTGAATACGATGATATGTACTCATGGGGTTAACCCTTTAAGGACGATCTTTTAACCTGTAACCCTTTAAGGACGATCTTTTAACTTGTAACCCTTTAAGGACGATCTTTTAACCTGTAACCCTTTAAGGACGATCTTTTAACTTGTAACCCTTAAGGACGATCTGACTTGTAACCCTTTTAAGGACGATCTTTTAACCGTAACCCTTTAAGACGATCTTTAACTTGTAACCCTTTAAGGACGATCTTTAACCTGTAACCCTTTAAGGACGATTTTAACCTGTAACCCTTAAGGACGATCTTTAACCTGTAACCCTTTAAGGACGATCTTTTAACCTGTAACCCTTAGGGACGATCTTTTAACCTGTAACCCTTTAAGGACGATCTTTAACTTGTAACCCTTAGGACGATCTTTAACCTGTAACCCTTAAGGACGATCTTTTAACTTGTAACCCTTTAAGGACGATCTTTTAACTTGTAACCTTTTAAGGACGATCTTTTAACTTGTAACCCTTTAAGGACGATCTTTTAACTTGTAACCCTTTAAGGACGATCTTTTAACTTGTAACCCTTTAAGGACGATCTTTTAACCTGTAACCCTTTAAGGACGATCTTTTAACTTGTAACCCTTTAAGGACGATCTTTTAACTTGTAACCCTTTAAGGACGATCTTTTAACTTGTAACCCTTTAAGGACGATTTTTTAACTTGTAACCCTTTAAGGACGATCTTTTAACCTGTAACCCTTTAAGGACGATCTTTTAACCTGTAACCCTTTAAGGACGATCTTTTAACCTGTAACCCTTTAAGGACGATCTTTTAACTTGCAACCTTTAAGGACGATCTTTTTAACCTATAAGCAACTGGGACGATCTTTTAACCTGTAACCCTTTAAGGACGATCTTTTAACCTGTAACCCTTTAAGGACGATCTTTTAACCTGTAACCCTTTAAGGACGATCTTTTAACTTGTAACCCTTTAAGGACGATCTTTTAACCTGTAACCCTTTAAGGACGATCTTTTAACTTGTAACCCTTTAAGGACGATCTTTTAACCTGTAACCCTTTAAGGACGACTCTTCCACCAAGACTCCTCCTCGAAGGTGCGGGAGGAGGCTTAACCATTTTGCCTAATAGGGTTCAATCATCATACTCCCCCGAAAACAGATTAAAACCGATTAATGACAAACCAAATCCCCTGTTCTTTACTCACTGCTGGTATTATTACATTACGACAATAAATGATGGAAGTGATAAACCCTCACTCACATAACATAAGAGATTCTAATTCCCCTCTCACCCCTGCTCCTTCCCTCTCACCCCTCTTCTCCTCTCTCATCTCTTCTCCCGTCACCCCTCATCCTCCCTCTCTCACCCTTCCTCCTCCCCTTCTCACCCTTCCTCCTCCCTCCCCTCACCCCTCTCTTCCCCAGCGGGCGGTAACACTCTTCAATCCTCCTACAGCGACGCTCATCTGTTGCCAGCTATGGGATCAGAGTCGTCAAGTGACAAGTTTTATAGATGGTCCAGGACGTTTATACCCGCCCCCCGCCCTTCGTTCACCTCCTGGTATAAGAGAATCAAGAGAGTGGAATTTCTTTAGATTCGTTCGTTAAGACGGTCATAACAAGAGAGATTTAACGCAGTATCAAACACTTTCACTAAAACTTCCTGTAGGTTCATAATGACGGTGAAAGTGTATTAAGACTCTACCTGTGTTCAGTCTTATATTCAGTTCCCAGGGAGAAGGTATACTGTATGAGGCTTTGAGACTCTCAGACTCCAGGGTTCAGATTCATGAGGGTTCGTTCATCTCTCTATCTCACTAGACAGGACACGTGTGAACCCCATACGAACGATTGTCTTCGGCATAATGCAAATATGACTGAAGTGGTTCTGATTATGTATGTATGTATGTATGTATGTATGTATGTATGCATGTATATATGTATGTATGTATGTACAGGAGCTTGTGGTATACTCGGACTGTGATCTTCAGAAGCAACACCTAACCTAACCTAACCTAACCTACCTTAATATATGGATATACTGCCAGTGTATCTTTAAACAGCCACACGGTCTTTTGTATCGGGGAGGGGGGAGAAGGGGCAGCGGGAGGGTAGCGGAGGGGGATCAGCAGGGGGAGGGGTAACAGAGGAGGACCCGTGGAGGAAAAAGGGGGCAGTAGGGGGGGACCGGGGGAGGGGGCAGCAGCAGAGGGACCAGCAGTCGAGACTCACCTTACTGTACAGGTACCAGAGAGGCCACATCCCCACCCCCCACCCCCTCTCCTCCATCCCGGCTTTGAGATTCTCAGAAATTCATAAGGTAAATTTTAACCCTTTATGAGAATTTTAGAAAACACAGGTAAGTTTGATAGAGTCTAAGAGTGATATCAACGCCATTTTGTTATATTCACGTCATATTACTAAGGTGAGTAAGACGAAAGTGAGTCCTGGTATAGTGAGGATAGTATAGTGAGGATAATATAGTGAGGATAGTTTAGTAAGGATAATATAGTGAGGATAGTTTAGTGAGGATAGTTCAGTGAGGAGAGTATAGTGAGGATAGTTTAGTGAGGATTTTTTAGTGAGGATAGTATAGTGAGGATAGTTCAGTGAGGAGGGTATAGTGAGGATAGTTTAGTGAGGATAGTGAATAAATTATCGTACGCCTAACTGAGACTGTTGGACTATGTAGGAAGCTCATTTAACTGACCTGACTGAGCGGTTTACGGTAATTGGTGCGGACTGCCGGCCTCCTCTTTGTAAATAGTCATTAATAATCTGTGTTATTAGCGGTCATTACAGGTTGACTACAATGATGAGGCAACTGCTAGTGTTATTATTATTATTATTATTATTATTGTTGTTGTTGTTGTTGTTGTTGTTGTTGTTGTTGTTGTTGTTGTCGACGTCATTATACCAAACAACACAATATAATCATGATATAAACTTGCTATATAAATCCTATATATATATCTGTAAGTATATCTAATAATAGTATTTTTTCTTTTACGGGGATTAGCCCACCCGGACACAGGTCACTGACCCCCATCGGGGCCTGGGGGGCGAAAATGTAATAATGATAATGATAATAATAATAATAATAATAATAATAATAATAATAATAATAATAATAATAATAATAATAATAAAAATAATAATAATAAATAATAGTCATAATAATTCATAATAAATAAAATTTATGATAAAACAAACAAAAATAAAATAATAAAATAATGATGATAATAATACAGTAACTGTAATAATAATAATAATTTTAATAATAAGGAATTATAAATACAAAAATGAAAAAAGATCAAAAGTGAGAAACGAAATATGTATGTTGTGTTGTCAATGGTAAGAGAAACAATTGAGACCCTGCAATTGTGTGTAAATGAAGCAGAAAGCCAGATCAGCAACCTGGGACTTGGTCACAATTTTCGTGGTCACATATGGCAGCAGGGTCTACCATTAGACAACACATTATGCTTCTAATATCTTCCCAGGCAGTAGTACCTCCCTGTTTGGTAGCTGCCTACTACTTACTACCTAAATAATTATCTATCAACTTTGCCTGTACCTGAACCGGAATTAACACCTCGTCCCTCTACACAACACAACCCCTCTTCTCTTGACCCCCTCACGAGTATGACCCTATCCACTTCTTCAACTTTGACCTCTGACCTCTTCCTTGACCAATATCCTGTCTGTGTAGCAAGTTATAGACGGTCAGCTCATTCTGTCTAAAATTTCCTTTAGACAGAGACACACTCATCTACAGAAAGATACACACACATACACACACACACACACACACACACACACACACACACACACACACACACACACACACACACACACACACACACACACACACACACACACACACACACACATTCACCCCGCAAATACCTCACCCACAAAAGCTTACCCACACACACAGCCAGCCCACCTCCACCCACACACAGAACACACACTCACCCAGGAACACACACTCACCCCACCCACACACACTGAACCACCCACACACACCCGCACACCCACACACACACACACACACACACTCACTCACACACAGTAGGAGCCCCCAACAGCAGTAGACGACCCGGATAAGTCAGTTGTGTACTCTTGAGGCTTATAATAACAGGTTACTGAAGGTACAATACTACTGATAAATTATGTTCATATATGCCTTAGTTGTTCGACTGTTCTGATTGTTTACGTGTGTGTGTGTGTGTGTGATGATAATGTGTAATGTCAGTAAATGATAGTAATGTGTGTGTGTGTGTGTGTGTGTGTGTGAAGAAGAAGAAGGCTTAAAAGAACCAGACAGACAGACAGACAGACAGACAGAAGGCCAATTTAACATAACACTCCCTCCCGTTATAGCCTGTGAAAAAGGAGGAGGAGGAGGAAGAGGAAGAGGTGGAAAAGAAAGAAAGGGAAATAGAAGAGGAGGGGAGGAAGAAGTAGAAGAGGAGAAAGAAGTAGAAGAGGAGGAAGAAGTGGAGGAGGATGAGGTGGAAGAAGAAGAGAAAGGGGAAGAAGAGGAGATGGAGATGGAAAACGAAGAGGAAGAAGAAGAGGAGGAAGAGGAAGAAGAGGAACAGGAGATGGAGATGGAAAAAGAAGAAGAATAGGAAGAAGGAGGAGGAAGAAGTAGAAGAGGAAGAGGAAGAAGTAGAAGAGGAAGAGGAAGAAGTAGAAGAGGAAGAGGAAGATCAGGAAGAAGAGAAGGAGGTAGAGGAAGTACAACAAATAGAAGAGGAAGATCAGGAAGAAGAAGAAGAATAGGAAGAAGAGGATGATAATGTGGTGGGAGGAAGTCCATTTCTTGCGTGCCAACAGGATGAGGTGGAGTGGGGCGGATGAGATAGTCCGCCCTCTTTTATGACAACAAAATGCTGCCTAAAATATCTGTACGCGGACTTACATGGAGTTTGGCCGATTTTTTTTCCCCCGCTAATTACCAACAGACATGAAGGGATTTGGGCTATATGCAAATATGTGCCGAAGCAGGTGTGTGTGTGTGTGTGTGTGTGTGTGTGTGTGTGTGTGTGTGTGTGTGTGTGTGTGTGTAGGGTCAATCACTCATACCTGCCATCTGTCTGTCACATTCTATCACACTATTACACTATTACACTATCATATACACTATAACACTATTACACTATTACATACACTATTACACTATCATATACACTACACCATAACACTATTACACTATCATATACACCATTACATACACTATCACACTATCACATATACAGAACTACCATACATATTACTATTTCACTATCACTTATACGGAAGGAGAAAACCCCGGACCGTATTAACTTAAGGGAGGATACGGGACCGTGTTTCATCGTGCTTTGGCCCTGATGATATGCAGACCAATTATCCGGCCGTGTTTGTCTCCTGAATACATTAAGAGCCGGATATAATGGGCGAGACCAGAGCTCAGCCAACATTATTGTTAAACCCAGAGACCGAGAGTGATTGTTAAACCTAGAGACCGAGAGTGATTGTTAAACCTAGAGACCGAGAGTGATTGTTAAACCTAGAGACCAAGAGTGATTGTTAAACCTAGAGACCGAGTGATTGTTAAACCTAGAGACCGAGTGATTGTTAAACCCAGAGACCGAGAGTGATTGTTAAACCTAGAGACCGAGAGTGATTGTTAAACCTAGAGACCGAGAGTGATTGTTAAACCTAGAGACCGAGAGTGATTGTTAAACCTAGAGACGAGTGATTGTTAAACCCAGGGCCGAGTGATTGTTAAACTAGGAACCGAGAGTGATTGTTAAACCTAGGAGCCGAGTGAAAGTTAAACCTAGAGACCGAGTGATTGTTAGAAACCCAGAGGGCGAGAGTGATTGTTAAACCTAGAGACCGAGTGAAAGTTAAACCTAGAGACCGAGTGATTGTTAAACCCAGAGACCGAGAGTGATTGTTAAACCTAGAGACCATGAGAGATGGTTAAACCCAGAGACCGAGAGAGAGAGAGAGAGAGAGAGAGAGAGAGAGAGAGAGTAGGTTAGGTCAGGTGATGGCAGTAACCGCGCGTGTTTGTGGCTGGTTTATTATACACGGAGTCTCTGTATTGTCTCGCCAAACACAACACAACACAACACAACACAACACAACACAGCATAACACAGCACAGCACGACACAACACAGTACAACGCAAAGCAACACGAAACGAAACACGACACGACACAACACATTATGACACAACACAGCACAACACAAAACAACGCAACACAACGCAACACGGCACGACACGACTCAGCACAACAAAACACAACGCAACACAACACAATAACACACACACACACAGCACCACGCAACACATCTCAACATACGTTCATACTGCGATCTGCCATATACAGTACACCTCCGCCATATTTTTGTTGTGCTGGTGTAGTATAACAGAGAGAGAGAGAGAGAGAGAGAGAGAGAGAGAGAGTCAATGAACCACCAATATGATGAAGGAGCCATAATTACAATATGAATATTTTATAGGTGAAAAATTCCCTCACTAGAAGACTGCATGTGTTCATATCTTACACACACACACACACACACACACACACACACACACACACACACACACACACGCATTTACTTACATCTCTACTAAACACCGAAAGCCTTTTTATTATGGCAAATACATCATGAGAAATATTCATCTGTTTCTCTAATTTGTGTCTCAGTAAATGTGTTTCTTTGTCTGTTATTAAAGATTTGTTCACCTTTTCTCTCTTTGTACGTCGTTATAAAATGCAATGTTTATTTTTATAGTAATTTGTTATCTTTAAAATTATATAGTTGATGTGTTTGAACGTTTGTAATTCATAAGAAATATATTATATGATGGATGGCTGCTTTTATGTGTGTCGTGTTAATGGTTGATCAATAAGTGTGTGTGTGTGTGTGTGTCAATGTCATAACAATATGTGATTACTGATGTTGATGTTTTGTTAGTGCACTTATTTTTATTACTTCTCTGTCTGTCTGTCTGTCATCTCTTTCTCTCTCACCCCGTTTCTATGTCTCTCTTTCGCCTTCATACTCCCACAGTTTCTTTCTCTCACCTCTCTCTCTTTCTCTCTCTCTCTCTCACCGCCGGCTGCCAGGGGTTCAGGTATTGGCCTCATGACTCTCCTTTGCTTCCTAACTTTTCTCGTTAGCCTTAACTCTCTGTCGGCCGCTATTAACTCCTAAAGTTAGCTGTTCTCTCCCCCCTCCTTCCTTCCTTCCTCCCTCTGTACATGACCACCCTCCTCCTTCCTCCCTTCTCCTTCATGACCACCCTTCTCCTTCTCTCTCCATCCCTCCTTCTCTTCCTCCTTCTCTCTGTCTATGACCACCCTTCAACTCCCCCTTCCCTCCCTTCAGCCTTCTCCCTCCTGTTCCCTCCCTCCTTCCTTCTCTCTCTCCCTCTGTCCATGACACCTCTCTCCCTTCTTCCCTCCATGACTCCCCCCCTTCTCTCCCTCCCAACACGACTACTCCCCCCTCCCTCCCTCCATGAGCAACTGGTAACACTGCTCTAACTAGGCAAGGTAGTGATAATTACATCTTGCTTGGTAACACTGGTCGAGGTGGCTCAGTCCTCAACAGTAACTCTCGTGTATGAAGACCTCACACAAGCTTACCTTACCTGATGATTAAACACCTTAACGCTACCTGGGGGTTAGGTTACGTTAGGTTAATGTGGTTAATCTTCAGGTGAAATAAGCTGAGGTGCAGATTCTTCAGGTGATCCGAAATATTTCCCTTAATGATGCTTGTTGGCGTTGACACCTCTAAGACCATAGTCCCTATAACCTATTCTAACCTAACCTAACCTAACCTAACCCAGGGAGTAATAACTTGAAGGCAGTAGTGTATGTCACCTCTCGAAACTCTGCATTTTGCAAGAGACAACACCAGGATGTGCCTCTAACCCCCCCCCCCCTTGTGTCTGTGGGGTGGCTGCTCCTGGCGGGGTGTGAAGCGCTTGTCTCCGGGGGGCTGTAGTTATCCTCCTGGGTAACTAAGTCTCCTGTGTACTGTAATTGATTCCTTGTCACTACATACCAGCACTGTGGATAACATACGCACACACGCACACGGAAACTGATATACACATACATACACACAGAAAAAACTAGCACACATGCACACGGAAACTAATATTCATACACACACACATATAAAAACTAGCAGACACACACACACACACTCACACACACACACACACACACACACACAAACACACACAAACGGACCTCAATTGAACAGCGCTGAACAGTGATACATTACTTTATTGATTATTGAACAGTTTCCTCACTTTTATGTACCAAGACCCTTCCAGAGTGTAACTAATTAGAGCTAAGTGAAGAATAATTTTGATGTATGGGAATTGCATGACAGAAGAATATCGATAAAACAGTAGTATAACGATATAACAGGACTATAACGATATAACAGTAGTATAACGATATAACAGTAGTATAACGATATAACAGGACTATAACGATATAACAGGACTATAACGATATAACAGTAGTATAACGATATAACAGGACTATAACGATATAACAGTAGTATAACGATATAACAGTGGTATAACGATATAACAGTAGTATAACGATATAACAGGACTATAACGATATAACAGTAGTATAACGATATAACAGGACTATAACGATATAACAGGACTATAACGATATAACAGTAGTATAACGATATAACAGGACTATAACGATATAACAGTAGTATAACGATATAACAGTGGTATAACGATATAACAGTAGTATAACGATATAACAGGACTATAACGATATAACAGTAGTATAACGATATAACAGGACTATAACGATATAACAGGACTATAACGATATAACAGTAGTATAACGATATAACAGGACTATAACGATATAACAGTAGTATAACGATATAACAGTGGTATAACGATATAACAGTAGTATAACGATATAACAGTGGTATAACGATATAACAGTGGTATAACGATATAACAGAAGAATAACGATATAACAGGAGTATAACGATATAACAGGAGTATAACGATATAAGTGGTATAACGATATAACAGGAGTATAACGATATAACAGGACTATAACGATATTACAGTAGTATAACGATATAACAGTAGTATAACGATATAACAGGACTATAACGATATAACAGAAGAATAACGATATAACAGAAGAATAACGATATAACAGTAGTATAACGATATAACAGTAGTATAACGATATAACAGGACTATAACGATATAACAGAAGAATAACGATATAACAGAAGAATAACGATATAACAGGACTATAACGATATAACAGGACTATAACGATATAACAGTAGTATAACGATATAACAGTAGTATAACGATATAACAGGACTATAACGATATAACAGTAGTATAACGATATAACAGTGGTATAACGATATAACAGTAGTATAACGATATAACAGAAGAATAACGATATAACAGGAGTATAACGATATAACAGGAGTATAACGATATAACAGTGGTATAACGATATAACAATAGTATAACGATGTAACAGTAGCATAACGATATAGCAGTAGTATAACGATATAACAGTAGCATAACGATATATCAAGAGAATAACGATATAACAGTAGTATAACGATATAACAGAAAAATAACGATATAACAGAAAAATAACGATATAACAGAAAAATAACGATATAACAGTAGTATAACGATATAACAGAAGAATGCCGATATAACAGGAGTATAACGATATAACAGAAGAATAACGATATAACAGGAGTATAACGATATAACAGTAGTATAACGATATAGCAGTAGTATAACGATATAACAGTAGTATAACGATATAACAGTAGTATAACGATATAACAGCAGTATAACGATATAACAGTAGTATAACGCTATAACAGTAGTATAACGATATAACAGAAG